AAGGAAGCAAGGAAAAAAGGAAGGAAGGAGGGAAGAAGGGAGGGAATAAAAGTGTGGTGTCATTATTTTCAAGCCTGCAACAAGTGGTATGCTAATCAAACATGATAATCAACGCGTTGAGTCAACATCAGAGATTTGATTCACACCGTTAAGAACGCACTCTTTGAACAAGAATATCCAAACTCACTTACCTTTTTCAATGTTTGCTCGTAGATAACTTTTTGAAGTCGAATTTTCAACTTTTCGTTTACTAAAGTTGACATATATTTCTGTAATTATCAGTTTAAAACATCAGTTTAAGGTTCGGCAGCAACTGGAATATGAAAATTAGGATGAATTAAGGAAGAAAAAATATCGTACCTCAACTGTTCCTCCAAAGGCAACAACAGCACCAAGAACCACAAACATGCTTGCGTAGAAAGGACCTTCTTTTGTCACTCTCTCTGTATCGTTAAGAAACTATGCAAAACCAATGAATCATTATGGCATTATATTTACGACACGTCCCTTAGTATAGAGTATTTTCGCTCACGTGACATGACAGCCATGATGGTATACCAAACCATAAAAACTTGTGCAGAGTTTTTCATAAAAAGTTGGCAACCAACATGGCCGCTGTAACGTTACGTAAAAACACTCCGTATGACGATATTTAGTGATGGATAAAATTGGTATAGTTACCTTTTGTATTTTATTGAAGAGCATAGCAAGACCCGGTGCTATCATGCCACTGAGGCCTGCACCAAGTGCTGCTGCTAACAGCAAAGGAGCATCCATTAACTGCATCTTGATCATCTTGTACTGTGCTTCACTCTCCTGAATCTAATATACAAAAACATACATTTACACAGAATACATTGGGATTAATCAGAGAATAGACCCCTTGCAGCACGTCAGAATACACCTCAGTTTGGAGGACATAAAAAAGGTTTCCAATTCTCAGGAGATTGAAATTCTTTTGTTTTGTCCTGCAAACTGAGCTCCTTTGACGTCACATGCAAGGGGTTGATAGACCTTATTCGTTGTGGTGCAATGTTTCCCCATTACAGATCACGTGTCATTCCCAAGAGTACGATCTCTTTGTTTAACGGTTGCGCATGAGAAGAAACATGAATATGTATACAACACAAACAAAAAATCTTATTCTCAATGTAATGACACGTGGTCTGGAATTGGAAAACATTGCACTACAACGAATTACGTCTATTCCTGAACGGATTCCATGTCCTGGAATAAAGGTTTTATCTCTTACCTTTTSTTGAACCAGTTCTCTTATTTCTTCTTTTTTGTCTTCAAATTTGTCACGCATTTCCTCCTTTTTGTTTTCAATAGCATCTTTTATTTCATCTCGTTTTTCTCTGATTCTGTTACAAATCCCTGTCCCCTGGGAGGATCCCTGCTTCCTGTATGACTTGTAATAATCATAGGCATCTTCTGTAGAGCTATCGGACAGTGAATCCAATGAATGGGACGTTTTGAGTCCTAACATGGAAATGGAAATATCACTTTCATCTTTGTTACTACGCAACCAACACAGCCTAAGATGTGAGGGTCTTTAGCTCCCGTCAATCAAAGTATCAATACTCAGACCATTGTAAATCAGATAAAAGCTAGTTTTCTGGGTTGCATAATTATGAAAATGGATATAAACAAGGGAGCATAAACGAGAGGGAAACTTCTTAATAACGCGCGCTCCATGTAAATTCCCGGTTGATAAAAACAAAACGGAAAGAGCGCACGCAAGTTGATGACGCACGGGAGTAGGGTAAGGCAAAATTTAAACTGAATCTAGTTACTAAAAATAGCACAACCGGGAATTTATATGGGGCGCACGTTATTAAGAAGTTTCCCTCTCTTATTTTTGCTCTCATGATGTAAACACGCCCAAAAAGTGATTTAAAAATGAGGTCACTGCAAAACTGGGGTGTCATAAAGCCTACAAATATTGACCAGCGAAAAATAATAACATGCCCACCATAGGAATAAAAATATAAAACTTATTAATTATGACGTCACTTTTATCAAGCGCGTATACTAGCAACGTTATTTTTTTTATTTGGTGAGCTGGAAATCTGTAAATGACACCTCCGTTTTGCATATTTTCTCGTTTCAACTTTGTCAGCTGGGGTATAACTACTTTAAAACGCATGCGCTATTTTGGCGCAGGGTGATCCTAACTTTATGTAACTGGCCTTTCAAGATGTTTTTTTCTTCGTAGGTTTACATAGGATTAATGAGGCACGGCTTAGCTTGCTTAGTGGCCCTCAGTATGTGTGGATGCCGAGGGGGACTGGAGAGGAGGGCCTTTTGAGGTATAAAAGACTCACCGGAAGTCTTCAGCAACCTGTCTTCTTGTGCAGCTCTTGATTCAAAATACTACAGACATCGATAACAATGGAAAAGGAATTTAAGTTTGAAAAAAAGAAAACCTTTTTGGTTGACATTTTCACTTGAAAAATTCACTAGTTTACACAATGTTTAAGGTTTATGTGTATCATATGTTAAACTACTTTACATGGAACTGACCTCTAGGCTTTACTTTGGGCGTAATGTTTTCCCATTTCAGACCACGTGTTATTTTCTTGAGATAATATTATTTGTTTGATTTGATCCATATTCATGTGTCTTTTCCTGCGCAACCGTTAAACAATGAAATGATACTCTAGGGAATGACACGTGGTCTGAAATAGAAAAATATTACACCCAAGGTAGGAAGGTCTCTGTTTACAGCCTCCTTTATATTGTTTTTACAGAATCATAAAATTTTACAAATTATATTTAATACATTTTCATTGTATTTTTTCCAGTGCWTTTTTCATACTTTATTCCCATGCTATAAAATAAGACCAGTGTCGGGTTACCTGTACAGTGCTCAGATAGCGAAAAGCACGACCAGACTGCATCAGCTCATCAGCAGTACCCTGTTCGATTACACGTCCCTCGTGAAGAATGAYGATGACGTCAGCTAGTCTAGCTACGCTCACGTGACTCGTGGATATCACTGTTGTCCGACCACGTCGCGCCTATGACAATTATTAAATCAATTATTATTACGTCTTTGCTTGGCGTTTCCCAATTCAAACGAGTCAATCCCTTGTGTATTATGGTTTTATCTAGTGATAATTTAGCTTGACAACATGTTAAGTTGTCCCACTGTAGATAAAATGCCATTCCCTCGAGTACTCTATCTTCATATACTGTTATCTAAGCTAGCGAACTCGTGAATTTACACATTGATATATCTCTTTTCCAGGGACCGTGGAGAACTTTGGGGCACTTTGTCCCTTTTCCCAYACTAGTCTCATATTTTTCTAATGTTAGCCCCTTCTAAGCTTCGCCCCCCTCCCCTCCCCCCGCGGTGTCCAYCTCATAGAGGCATCACTGTATAGAGGTACCATTTATATGAACTTATCCTTAACGCCCAAGAAGGCTATATTATTAGCACGATATACATTATTTCGTTTTATGGTAAACCTGATCAAGATAGAAGGTCAATGTGCGCAGTTCATCTGGGTCCATAAGTGAGATATCTTCTTCCCATATCAAGACTCTGGGATCCCGTATGAGTGCACGAGCTAGAGCCAGCAAATGAAGCTGGAATGGGGTCAGCGGTGAACCATTGTCACCAAGGATAGTTTCATAACCCTTATTTGAAAAAAACACACGAAATAGTTAATTCAAATCCAGAGAAATGAAATAAAGAAAAACATTTCACGTTAGCAGTGAAGTTTAGTGAATGTACGTAAGAGCGTTTTTGACCCTTTTTTACCCGATATTTTGTTTCGTAATTCTTACTGCATGAAATAGAATAAAAAAGATAGGAAAAAGAAAAAAAGGAAAGAAAAAAGAACGATAAAGTAAGACACAAAAAAAKAGAGAAAAAGAGAAAAAAACATAAACAATTGGAACAACTTCAACCCCCACAAAAACATTTACGGAACATACAAAAAGTTCAACATAGCTGTCATGACGTCATGGGATACCTGTGGTAAGCGATTGATAAACTCATGTGCCCCAGCAGCCTTTGCAGCACGTACTATCTCCTTGATGGTACATTGTTCGTCTTTGCCGTAGGATATGTTATCAGCGATGGTTGTATTGAAGAACTCAGGCTCTTTATGCACAACTCCTAAKTGACGACGAAACCAACGTTTATCTAAGGTGCGCAAGTCATGGCCATCAAGTCTGATCTGAAACAGTGAAGTAGATATGCTTTTGCATTTTATTATTTGTATCATATTACCATTACCACAATAACTTGCATAAATTCTTTTCTTTCTTTAACTTACTATTTTCATGAAGCAATAAAAAATTGAAGAAAGAAAATTCATGATGCATCCAATAGTCACAGTTGCCTGCGCCATCTTGAAACGTAGTCGTGCCTTTGCATCGAAGCGAGACGAAAGGCGCGCTTGCAATGATAGAGACATGTGAATAATTGTCCAAGGTGTTAAAAAAGGTCACAACACAGATATCATCTATCATTCCAAGGTGACGTTCGTCTCGCTTCGATGCAAAGGCACGGCTACCTTTCAAGATGGCGAAGGCAACTGTGAGGGACTATCCTAGTAGTTGTAGTAAAACACCATCTCTTTTACTACGATGAAGAACTAATGTCACGAAACGTCAGTAGTAAAATTTTCCTTTTCATTCACTTGTTTCACCATGAAAATGGTCTATTACGGGCGGAAATCTTAGGATAGGGACACCTATACTAGTCTCCTTTGCAGCCGTCATTAGTTTCGGTCCCAGATCCTGGAGAGGGCCCGTGAAGATCTGGGACAAAAAAAACTTATGACGGCGGCGGAGGAGACTATACCTATACTGTTATAAAGTTAGCCGCTTCGAGAGCTATAAGATAAGATCAACGAGTACCATCTGATTAAGTGYCAAACATATATCTGCATCAGCGGGATGGAAAGTGGAAATTGTCTATTTATCCTTTGTCTCACCTTGCCAGTCTCCGGATCATAGATTCCTTGTAATAGTTTAATGATTGTACCTCTACCACAACCCHTATCACCAAGGATAGCGACAGTCTGTCCTGGCTCAGCTGTGATGTTAACAGACTTAAGAATCTGGTGAAACAAATATTTCAATTTAGTTTCTTGAAGAGCATCTCCAATCCGTAAATTTCTTAGATTGAAAAATATGACAGATTAGCATGGATAAGTCTAAAATGTGAGGGAACTGATACTTTCCTTTCTGCGGTCCCTGTTCTTTATATTGGCTCAATATTAACATAAATCACATCCTTGGCTTATATTCACGGAGTTCCTGTGGAATTGGCGGGACATTTTCGCGCCATAATCTGCGCGCGCGCTCGCCTAGCTCAGGGACCTTTGCTATGTTACTGCTGATGTTACCTGGTACTCTGGTCTTGAAGGATAATGAAAATACACGTTGAACACATCAAGCTTCCCCATAACAGCTTCCAGCTGGCTGGCAGCCATGTCTACTGTGGCTTCAGTATCCTTGAATGGAAAAGAACAACGAAACAAACGAAAATGTAACTAGAAACTATTTGAACTATTAAAAATGTAAGTCATATATTCCAGCCTGCCAGCAGAATACCTTTGCTGAGAACCCAAGAATCGATTCCAATGATCCCTTAGACTCCCCAACGTCATCAATCTGTTCAGCAGAGCCAGCCATCTTCATCATACCTCCAATGATCGCCATAAAAATCTACAAAAAGCAACCGCGAGAAAATTTATGCTTTGCYTGTACTTGGTTACAACAGTAAGTGGCGTCATTTTACTACAACTCACCAGAATGCTTTGCGAATTTTACTTCATTTTAAAATTTCTTGTAGTCAATCAGTTGAATGAATTAAATAATATCTTAACAAATGATAATTAATAAATAATCTTATTAACCAGCCTCCAATGAAGGTCAAACATTGCCTCAATACTCAATCATCCATGTACATAACTACGTACATATCATGAAAACTTGCCACTCAGCTGGTAACAAACGCACGACAATGGCYGGAAATGACGTCTATTGATAGCAACCTATTTCTATTTATTCATAAGGATGGGAAGACAATGTGAGTTCATCTGGTCTTCCCTTGAGCTGAATAGAATCCACTCACCGTTAATAAAGCCCCTGGGGTAATTCCTCCACTGGGGAGCATGGTTGTACTATACCTGAGATGATTAAACATACAGTTATGCGATATACTCATTTCAATAAAGTTRGTCACCTGAAAAACTATAAAGYGGAGACCGGCAAGGATTATGGGTAGACATATCTTACATTTTTCAACCGMTTGATARCTATTGATAACTTRAGATCTATTACTAGTTACAGTTTCGCCTCTTGTAAGCATCCTCAAGCAGCATTTWAGTTGTATCAAAAACTTTGCTTGTTTGATATGAAAGTCTCAGCTCTACTGTAGGTTTTGCTGAAATAAGTCACACCTACTATTCGAATGTATAGTTTGGGTCTAATTTTTCGCCCATTTCAGACCACCTTGTATCTATGCTCATTTGTCTTCTCATTTGCAACCTTTAGGGAATGACACGTTGTCTGAAGTGGAAAAGCATTATATRATAAACCCAAGATGAAGAGGTCTATTGAGAAGATGAACTGAACGTCAAGCAYTGCGTTCTTGCTTCAGTATGATGTGTTCATCGCGACTGACTAAAGTGTTGCTGTAGGTGCTTGTAGTGAAAGTAGACTAGCTGTTCTTACCAGAATCCTAGCCCAAGGAAACTGAACGCAACCAGTGTGTTGGTTCCTTTCTCGAATCCTTTCACTAGACTTTTGAGCTTGTTGAGTTTGCCACTTTGCTCCATTTCGGTGTCAAACCTTCAGGTGCGAATAAAACAAAGAAAGAAAGAGTGAATGAATGAATGAATG